GTTGACCTGCAGAACATCTCAGAAGGAACACACCTATATGAGTTCGACTGCTAGTCACAGTCTACGAGGTTTGGGCGATCTCTAGATACTCATGAAAGGCCTGGAGTTTGACTTATATGCTCCAAACAGAGGGGATGCGAATGGCAGCCCAGTACCAGTCAAGGTTCTAAGTGAAACCTGATCACACAAAACTGACAATTCAAGGCATAGTCCATTGTTCAGTTGTGGTCTGATGTAGCTCATTTCCTAGGTGGAAGTTCAACTTAACAGTCTCCACCAAAACCCTGGTATATCAAACAGGCACAACATTGAGAACATTTCTTATGAGCCTTGAAATTTGGTGGGGATTGTTAGAATAATTGGGCTAGGCCCAACTTATCCTATTAAATCTCAAAGGCCCATAATAAGTGTTAAGGATAATAATACCACATCAGGATTTAAGCGAGGAATATCTCAACCTAAATAGGGAGTTATTGGAGGCCCCCTGTTGATTGGTTGAGGTGGGGGTCGGAATGCCACACGCGCGCGCGCGCCGGGCCGGGCCGTGGGCGAGGCGTGGCGTGGCTGGCTGGCGGCGGCGTGCGTGCGTCACGTCGCTATTCTTTTGCAGCCACTAACCACTTCCCACGACTCTCTCCGCAACAGCGCGTCCACGTTCCCACGACTGCCTCTCTCTCCTGATAGATAAGGAGGCCGCGAGTCCGATCGGTTCCGGACGCTTGCTTCTTTCTCGGTGTTAGTTCCTCCTCCTCCGCGCCAGTGCTGTTATCGCTTCCTCGCTTCTGATCTCTTGCGCGCACGAGAGATTGGAAGGAGCAGTGCCTCCGAAACCACATCTTCGCCTGAGATCTGCACCGGGTAGGCGGGTGATCAGGTTTTTGGGGAGTGCCTCCCGCACGACTGCTCGCCATGTCTGGAGTTGCCGCCACCACTGCTGAAGGAGATGGCAGAGGTGGTGCGCCGCCAGGAGCTAGAGCCGGAGGTGGTGCACTAGGAGTTGGAGCCGGAGGTGGTGCGCCAGGAGCTGGAGCCGGTGCCGCGAACGACAACATCAACGGAGACAATTCTGCCTCACAATCTAGCGGAGGGCCATTCTCGGGGTATATCCTTCTCCTGTTCCCTTTGTTAGCGCTATCGCTTTACTGTTATGTGCGCTATGTTTCTGTTCCTGACATTCATGATGCCTCTTGCATGTTATTGCGTTACTGTAATGTTCCTGTTCCTGGCATTCATGATACGCATAGTATGCTACAGGTTATGTTAAGATCACTCTACATCGCTTATGCCATGATTATTGCTTTAACATTTTGGATTAAAATATACCGATTCATGACTATATTTCCAACACTGACCAGAAAAGCTGCTATAAGAGAAATTGAGGTGGATCATATTTGTGAGCTGCGCAAACCCAGATGCTGGGAGAGCGGTTCCCAAAAAATCATTGTAAGCAAGGCTAAGGTTTCTAAGAGAGGTGAGGTTAAAGAGTGCAGGATCGAGACGATGGCTTATCAAGTTCAACTCACTGAGGTCAAGGGAAATGACCCTGCCGGAGGCCATGTCACAGGTGACACCCTCCCAGTGGCAGCAGTCCGATCCAGCTCGCCATGATGGCAGCAGGTTTGTACCGATGAAGGAAGCTTTAAGCCGTAGTAGGGAAGAAGCTTGATCTGGGCGGCAATGGACGGCTGTGTCATGCTGGGCTGCAGTATCACTATGAATGGCGTAAGAGCACAAGAGGAGTATGAGGATGTTGATCTGTTGCTTGGGTGAAATCATTTTTGACACTGGCTTGCGTCCTCCAATGGCGTCCAGTGACCCTCTATATATTGGGAAAAAGAAGAACATCCGGTGACCTAGACAGTTCAGACTTTGGACTCGTAATTAGCTCTTGTTTAGTTCCAAACTTTTTCTTCGAACTTTTAACTTTTTTATCACATCAAAATTTTCTTACACACACAAACTTATCAAAATTTGATTCCATAAAAATCAAGGCCGTATTTAGTTCCAAAGGTTTTCTTTAAACTTTCAAATTTTTCATCACATCAAAACTTTCCTACACACAAACTTCTAACTTTTCCGTTACATCGTTCTAATTTCAATCAAACTTTTAATTTTAACGTGAACTAAATACAGCCCAAAGCAACTCCTAATACGAAACCAAGGAGATGATCGATTTGCAAGCCGCCGCTAACAGTACCGATGAGTGAGCGTGTGGACCGCGAGTAGGGAACACAAGGGTACAAGCGTGTGGGCCGAACCCGCACTCCACTCCACTTCGCGCTGTCAATTGAGACGTGGTGGTCCCGTTCCGGTGAGAACACGATGGACGACCGACCAGCGGATCCGTCAACGACGTGGTCTCCTGCCGGCCGGGCCCTGCTATTTCCATCCCATCCATCTGCCTGCAGATGGGCTGTGGTTTGCCCATTGATGAACGCCTCATGCTGGCCGCGATTTTGTGCCCCGAATTTAGTTCCTAAATTTTTTTAGTTCCTTGCGCTGTGTTTAGTTCCAAAATAATTCTTCAAACTTCTAACTTTTTCATCACATCAAAACTTTCCTACACACATAAACTTTTAACTTTTTCGTCACATCATTTCAATTTCAACCAAACTTCCAATTTTGGTGTGAACTAAACACAGCTTGTTTAGTTCCAAAATTTTGTGCCCCAAATTTAGTTCCTAAATTTTGTGCCTTAAGGGTTAAGGCCTTGTTTAGTTTCTAATTCTTTTATAACTTTCAACTTTTTCATCTCATTAAAACTTTCCTACATACATAAACTTCCATTTTTTTTCTTCAAACTTTCAATTTTAGTCAAACTCTCAATTTTGGCATGGAACTAAATATAACCTAACTTGCGAGTGATCTGGCTGCCTCCTGGCCGGCGATACCTACCGAAAATGATAGAGCTCAGTGATTGATTCTCAGGCTGCTAAACACGCGGGTGGTGATGCGCGCGGCAGCTTTGTTCTCTGACGAGGGGGCTATAACACCACCGGCTTCCGGAGGCAGTGGCGTAGCTAGAATTTAGATTAAAGGTGGTCCATCTATTAGTGGCGGACACAACTTTAAAATATAGATGGGGCGGAGAAAAGAGATATTCACTCGATAAGAGCAATCGAACACAACACATATCGTATTAATAGTTCGTTCATATAATTGTCTCAATCTGTCAAGTGTTTATATCTTGTTATACCTAATTTTGATGGCCTATGACTACTATAAGCGGATAAGGGGGGATGATACTCCCTCTGTTCCATAAAAAAAATTAAATACTAAGGATAGATATGGACATAGTGTATGGGACAAGTTTGTCTTTTGTAACCTTTCTCTACAGTTTTATTTTTTAATTTGCAATTATAGGATAGTAAGAAAGCAGGAGCTGAAAATATTCGCCTCAAGATACAGTTGGATAACTGCAGTGTAGTGAACTCCCTGGTGTTTTTTCTTAATTATCTGAAAATATGAATTTTCTTCAACGTTGTTCATGATTATCGTTCTACAAGCATTCATGGTCTCATGGTCATTGTGTACGGGATGATCTAATCGTAGTAGCTAGTAGTAACCAACTACCAAGTTATATGATTTTAGACGTTCGAGTTTCAAAAGGGTAGCTTTTAGTAGGAAAGAGTCTTGTACTTAGGTCGATGAACCTCTTGGTTATATTCTAAGCACTTTAACAAACGATGTAACAATGTTTAATGATCAATAAAGCTAGCCGAATGGTATTCCCTCGAAAAAAAAGTTATATGATTTTAGACGTTCGAGTTTCAAAAGGGCCAGGCCTTTCGGATTCAGGGGATGAGCATAATTGCACAACGTGCATCTTGTACAGAAGGATTATCCAAGGGCAGAAGCCAAGAAAGTGTTCGAGCAGATGAACATTGTCAGCTCAGCATTGCTGCGTTGCATCCTCATCACATATCGGTTGAGATCCGGCGGTTGCGGAAGGCAAAGGGAAGGTAATGCGCGGGAACGCCATGCAGGGGAGAACGTGGCGGGAGCGGCAACGCCGCCAACGCGAGTCGCGAGAGCGCTTCGATGGGCCGAGATTGCCACACAAATGGGCTTTAATTACTGGAGGCCACCACCACCAGGCCCGTCATGTGTGTACGGCCCCATACGATGCGAGGCCTGCCACTAGATCTGCGACGGTTGCGAAATGGCGGCGCGGCCATGGTGCCATGGCCGGCGACGAGGTGGATGCGCCGAAGGCTCTCCTCCCACCCAGACCGGCCATCCTCGTGGCGAGCGCCGGTCAGCATCTACCAAGGTCCAAGGGCAAGTGGTACGCGCCGCCATCGTACGGTCGATCTCGTCGTGCGCGTCCTGTTCGATGCCCCGACGCCGCTCGCCGCCCGTCCTCGCGGACGCCGCCGGAGCCGGAGCCACCGGTTGGTTTGGTAGACTTGTCCCCCTTCGCCTGCCTCCGCTTCACCTCGTCGACGCCTCACCCCACTTCGATTCCCACCACCACTCCACCAGCCGTCCATACACCCCGATCCCCAATCCCCAGTTCCAGTGAGGTCCACTGCCACTTGCAACTCGCCGGAGAGAAAACGCGACAGGTTGGAACTGCAAGGTGGCGACCTGGAGGTCAGGGCAAGTCTCAGTGATCATCCGGTCATCGTGGATGCGTTGCAGGAGCGAGTTAATCCTGCTGCTCCGCTGCTCGCCAGTGCGGCGCTGCTTCTGCCTGGTACGTGTTCGAGGGGATGCGCCTGTGCAGTTGCACAGTACATGTTACAGCAAATTACACAATCTCATTGTGCCAACTTGGTACGTGATGAACTGATGACTAGTGTTGCCTTTTCTTCATTACATTTTCAGGTGATCTCATCTAGCTTTGCAAATCAAGCATGTGTTCCTGCACCGATAAATCATTGGTCTTGAAGCTGGAGCGATGGGGATGGAACCATCAAGGTTTTCCTTCCACGTGACCAGCATCGTCTTGGTAGACTCATCAGGTGATTCTGCCACCTCAGTTTACAGTCTAGAACTAGTAGATAAATCCAAATTGCATTATTCGTAAAAGAGTAGATTTATACAAGCTCATACCACACGCATGCATGCGTACACTACTTAACTACTACAGTGTTACTGGTGAAACGAAAAATGTTCCAGTTCCAGCGTTTCGCTCGGGAAACCACTGACAAAACAACGGCCACTGTAAAGCCGATTCCAAACCCGGATCCCACAAACACAAACAATATTATTATCCCCACACTATCTCGAGAGGATGATGGTGATCTTGCAGCTTCTATGCCTGAATAGTTGCACTGTTTGGACAGCGGCCTTCCACAGAGTCCTGCATTGCCTTCGAATGATCTGTTGCCGAATGACAAGAACTGTGGCCCTTGTGGTATCTGTCCAGTCAAATTGTTGTATGAGAGATTCAATATTGCGAGAGATGTTAGGGATGCCAACTCCTGTGGGATTGCTTCTGAGAGCTGATTCAAAGAGAGGTCCAAGGACTCGAGCTGAACCAATTTACCAATCTTAGATGGAATTCTTCCAGTGAAGGAGTTGCGTGACATGTTCAAACCATGTAGAGCAATTAGCTTCCCAATTGATTCTGGGATAGCACCATTGAAATCATTGTTTGATAAGTCTATCATCTTGAAAGTAGTCAGGATTTTGGTAAACATGAGATCAAACCCTTTAAATGTAACAATCATATTGTTTTGGTATAAGCCCTTATATATCCCCTGAATGCCCAAAACATCACCCTGATCACTATTTATCATCATTGTTTCAAGGTTCTCAAACCATTTTGATTGCAAACTCCCTGATAAGTTATTTGAGGCTAAATCAATAATTTGCAAACCTGAGAAATACTTACTGGTTGCATCACTTTCTGTAGGTAGTCCTACTGAACCATAGAATTGATTGGATCTCAAGATGAGAACCCGAAGATTGGACATGTTCCCTAACCAAGATGGGAAAGAATCAAGAATCTGGTTGTTACCCATGTCAAGAACCTCTAAGCTCTTGCATTTAGACAATGATCTAGGCAGTTTCCCTATAATTCGGTTGCTGTTCAGATCGATTGTCTGAAACATACATCCTTCTCTAATATTCTTAGGCAGCACGCCATGGAAGTTGTTCTCCCTTAACTTCAATATGGTGACATCACCATTTTGTATTAAACAGGATGGCACCATACCACTGAAGTTGTTGTGTGATAAGTCAAGGACCTCAAGATAACATTGGGTACATATAGAACTTGGTATATGACCACTTATTTTATTCCTGGAAAAGCTAAGATAGTAGACGTTTCGAAGATACCTGCCGAAGTCACGAGTAATTGAAGAGAAGCTGTTGCTAGAGTAATCCAAGAGAACACCACCATCTCTAGTAGTTGTCAGTGGTATAGGTACGTTACCATGCAGTCTGTTGGAACTAAGATTGAGTCTATCTAAAGTGTGCAAGGGAAGAACAGATGGATTATTTTCCAAGCTAGTGAACATGTTGTTAGAGAGTACTAACACGGACAAGCTATTCTTCCAGTTATCCCATATCCAGCTTGGTATTACTCCATTTATTCTGTTGTTTGAAAGGTCCAAGTAAGACATACCTTTTATATCTCTCAATGCGCCTGGAATTTTTGTAAGGTTGCAAGATGCTAGTCCCAGGTATTTGATTGTAGGGAAGTAATGAAATGGATAGCCATCTTCTCGATCTATCACCGACAACATATTGTTAGAGATAATTAATGATTCTAGTTTCTCCATCTTCCAAAGAAGGTTAATTTCCAGTGTACCATTCAATTGATTTGATTGAAGCACGAGATTTGTTAGTCTTCTAAGATCAAAGAACGATTTGGGTATGTAGCCTGTAAGGTGGTTATAGCTTAAGTCGATGAATTCTAACAACGAGGAAAACGGGTCTGAAATGTCTTCTAGATGTCCAGAAAGTTGGTTTGATCGCAGATCTAGCATTTCCAACGATTGATGAGCGAAAAGAAGCTTCGGGATTCTACCTGTGTGGATGAGGGACAGAGAGAGAACAACAGTCAAAGTTTGTTCAAAAAAGAAAAGCACAGAATGTCAGAAGTCCTGATATATGTACTCAAATGTGTGTTCTTACCGCTGAGGCTGTTAAGTGAAAGTTCCAAATAGATAAGCTTAGTCAAGTTCCCAATCCATGATGGTATTGGCCCATAGAAGCTGCAATTAAAGAGCACTAAAGATTCCAAACTTGTACAGTTTCTGATCCAAGGGGGTATTGGACTGGAGAAATTATAGCCTTCGAGCATCAAGTCTCTCAGTTTAATTGTTCCAATCCAAGATAACAGTGGCTTCTCTATGCCTGATCCAGAGAGCCATAATGTATCTAGAGATGGAAGGCTAGGTATGAAAGTAGCAACCTGCTTGGGAGATCCTACGTTGCTAAGGCCCAAAAATTTCAATGATTTGAGGTGGATAAACGAGGCTGGCATGTTACCAGAAAAGTTTGTCCTCTGAAGATTTAGTGATTCCAAATATTTTCCAGGTGGGAAATCCGGAAGTTGGACAAAAAGAGTAGGATTGAAAGATACATCAAGAGACCTCAAATTTTCTACCTGGAATATCTTTGTGGGAAATTGCCCTTCAAAATTATTGTTCGAGAGAGCAAGGTCACTCAAGAAAAAGAAGTCTGCAAAGAACTCAGGAACCCTTCCAGAAATTCCATTGTAGTTGAGGTTGATCACCACTAGAGAGCGGAGTTGGGAAAATGAACGATGAATAGTTCCACCTAGGTCACATTGGGACAAACTAAGATTCTGCAGCAGAGGGAGAGAGTGTGCTAAAGCAACGGACCAGGTTGGTTCACTAGTAATGCGCACTTGATCAAGATAGAGCTCTCTCAAATTGCTCAGGTTTGCTACAATGGTTTGAAAACTCGGTTCTTGAAAAAACAGATAATTGAAGGAAAGATCAAGAGCACGCAAATTCTTGAGATGTGCAATTCCAATGGGTATCTGACCAAAGAAGCCTGCTTCTGACAAATCGAGCCTGAGGAGTTTGGTGAGCCGCTGAAACCCGAAACTAGGAAGAACGGTCCGGTTGAAATCGTTACCAGCAAGGCTGAGGTTTCTCAGAGTGGTGAGGTTGAAGACCGCTGGGTCTAGGCCACCGGGGCTCTGGAGATTATAGTAACTGAGGTCCAACGCTGTTACCTGCCCAGAGGATGTGTCGCAGGTGACACCCTCCCAGTGGCAACAGTCGGTGTTCAGTTTCCATGACGAGAGGTTTGGATTAATGAAGGAGCTCTTCAGCTGGAGAAGCGCTTCAGCTTGGTGAGGATGGCAATGAACTGGGATGGTGGTGTTGGCAACAGTTTGGATGGAGCAGTACAATGTGAGTAGCAGCAGTATGAGGAGAAGCTGTGGTAGTGTGGATGCCATCTCTGTATTGGTTTGCCACTACACATAACCACTTGGGTGGGTGGTTCTCAAGGTAATATATGTAGGTTAATTACATAGGAAAAACAGTAGGTTTTAATTAAAAAGAAAAGGGAAAAGGCTGGCCTGTACATCATTAAATTTTTATATTTGTTAGTATTTCCTCAATATGTTGCGTTCAATCATCAATATAACCTTTACCTGTTAGTCCAGGTCTCCAAGATGACAGTTAGTGTGCGACCGTCATGTGGCTAACGTTGTTTCCATGTCCAGGCCGGCATGTTTTGCTGTCTTTTCTAAGGCTAACTGAGAGTGAGAGAAGCACTTGCCTTAGGGCAAGTACAATAACGTGAAATTACCGGCTAATTTGGATTTTATATCTATGTGGCGGAGAGAGAGTACCATGAATGAGAAACGTCGTCGATTAATCTGTCGAAGGTCATGCACAGGCACCAATGCTCCTATCGCCGACTTGCAGGGGCGGATCCAGCGTGGTTGCTGGGGGGACTCGAGTCCCCCTACCCCACTGGATCACCATTGATAGAAGGGGAGATGAAAGGGAAAAAATAGGGAGAAAATGAAGAGTAGGGGGACTGAACAAAGAAGCCCCCCCCCCCCCCCAAAAAAAATCTTATTCTGAATCCGCCCCGGCTGGCTTAGCGCCTTCCTATCGACAACACCATGGACGGAACAAGAAATTAGCATGAATGATCTTCCTTGATCGGCTTGGAGGAAAGAGAAAAGCTGGGAAGAAGTGAGGGAGAAATAATTAAACCATGATTAATATGAGTGTTGCAGTAAATATGAAGAGACAACTATTATATTTATTATCTATTAAGTTGCCTCTAAATGGCGTGTATAAAGATTAAGAGTAAGCAGTCGTCTTTTCTATTGCCCTTGCCCTTAGGCATGTCCAGTTGCCACACCTTGGCCGTGTAAGAACAGTCTCGAGTCTTTTGATAGGTGCCCAGTTTTTCTCACTTTTTCCAACTTCACCTCCCTTTTTGTATGCACATGTTTCCCAAATTGCTAAATGGTACTCCCTCCATTCCAAATTTATCTACATATAGTTTTTTTTAGGTTATTCCTAAATGATCTACATATTAGTGTTCATTCATTAAGTCTATTCGTTATTTGTGTATTGGAGTAAATGGATATTGATGCATGCATCCATGCACACAAGTATTTATAACCCACATGCAATATCTTGATTTGCTATTGGCTAGGAAATAGTAGGGATGGGGCATGCATCGAGTTTGTTGCTAGAGTAAATATAGTATGAGAGAGTTATTAGCTTTTCTTGGTCTTGGTGTACATATGAAATATATAGATCAATTTAGAATGGAGGGAGTACATTTTTTACAAAAAAAATTTATAGGAAAATTGTCTTAAAAAATCATATTAATCCATTTTAAAGCTTTTTAGCTAATATTTACTCCCTCTGTCCCAAAATATAAGCATTTTTAGCATAGCGACAAGTCAAACATTTTTAACTTTGACTATCAATAGCAAAATAATAATAATAATAATAATAATAATAATAATAATAATAATAATAATAATAATAATAATAATAATAATAATAATAATAATAATAATAATAATAATAATAATAATAATAAGATCAATAATGTAAAATTGATGTTACTAGATTTACTATTAAACAAACTATCATAATATCCAACTCTTTTTATTTAAAACTTTTTTACTTTTACAGATATTATTGGTCAAAGTAGCATATCAGAGACCGTGTCAGAGTCCAAAAATTCTTATATTTTGGGACGGAGGGGTAATTAATAATACTCTAATCTGTCACTTCGTTTTTCGTGCATGGAAGATTAGTTCCCAAACCCATTTGCCGAACATCTTGATGTCTCAATTCTCAGAAACTTTGATGAGAATGCTACAAACCAAATTGCATGGCAAATGTCTCTGCACTTTGCAGTAGGTTGTCACTTGTCGGGAAAATATCGACAGTTCAATGGGGTTTACACTGAACAGAACTATTGAGAGGGCATGCACTCTCTCTTTTTTTTTGAATGGAACTAGCACGAGAGTGTGCTTTTTTATTAAATATAGAAGGAGAAAAATACAGCCCCTAGAGACAAAGAAAAGGCGAAAGCCAAACTCTGCACACTATACAAGGTGCGGGATAAGATCGCGCAATCGCTTAGCGCCTGCCAACGCCCACGTGCTAGCTTCTTCTTTTATTTTTGCGGTGAGATATAATGTTGTGGCCTCCTTGTGCTCGAAGATTCGCTGGTTACGCTCCTTCCATATTTCCTAAACAACGATGAGGATCAGGGTGCGCAATCCCTTCTTGAGGATGCCAGCCGAAGTGGCTAACAATTCCCACCAATCTTTGACCGTCTGAGTCGTCTCCCAATGCCGAGGATGGAGCTGATGATATCCCGAGAGGGCATGCACTCTCAATCTCATTGTGTGCTACGATATGATTGTGATCAGGTCTATTTGTTGCTCAGTTTGAGAAAAAAATGTTATACATACTCGGCAGAGTGCACGGTCTCTGATTTGCTCATTTGACCAATAATATTCATAAGAGTAAAATGTACGGGCGGTCCTTAAACTTGTAGTGTTGTGTCATATAGGTTCCTAAACTCTCAAAATGCATATCCAGGTCCCATAACTTGTCAAAGTGTATCATCTAGGTCCCAAATTGACGCATCCTCTCTAGGATCCTACGTGGCGCTGATATGGCAATGCCACATAGACGTGACGTGTCCTTTTTCTCTTTTTTTTTCTTCTTTTCTTTTTCTTTTTCGTTTTCTTCTTATTCTTCTTTTTTTCCTTTTTTATGCACGGGTCACAAAGAAATGAGAAGAAAGGGAAAAAAAAGAAGAAAAAAAGAAAAAGAAAAAGAAAATAAATGGATCCCATTTGTCAGTCAAAATAATGCCATGTCATGTACGTGTGGCATGCCACATCGCCGCCACGTAGGATTCTCAAGGGGTTGTGGTGATTTGGGACCTAAATGACACACTATGACAAGTTTTAGGACTTAGATATGCATTTTGAGAATTTATGAACCTAGATGACATACCCCTACAAGTTTAAGGACCGCCCGTACATTTTACTCTAAAATTATTTTAAATGAAAAGAGTTGCACTTATGTTAGCTTGTTTCATGATAGATCTAATAACATAATTCTTATGTCGTGAATCTTTATGATTTTATTTTGCTATTGTCACGCCCCGAACTAGTCCCGACTGGAACTAGCCCGTGACGTTCCAAATTAACCTGTTAATCGATACCAGTCCCAGGAAACAGTGCTGGTATCACAGGAAGATAGAATATCACAGCAACAGAGGTCTCTTTATTATAGAGTAAGAGTACAGTCATATTGGGGTGCGGACAGATCCCGAGCTCACAACTGCATTACAAAAGGGAAATGGAAGCCAGGACTTGGACCAACCATCACAGGCGCGACTTGGGAACTAGGCTGAAACCCTAAAACTCATCGTAACCAGCTTGCTCCTGGAAGAACTCCTCATCAGCAGGATTTGCTTCATCTTCTTCAGCAACTGGGGGGGAGGATATTTATATAGAGCAAGGGTGAGTACGGGAGTACTCAGCAAGCCAGGGGAAATAAGTGTTTAATGCAGGCTTCAAGGAAAGGCTGTTGTTTTTGCAATTTATTTTATTTGATCTCTTTTCTAAAACAACTAGGTGAGTGCTTCTCAAACGACACGGATGAGACAGTGCATCTCGTCCGGTCGGAGTATGTGCAATGTATCAGTCTTTAGAATTGAAACAAGGTTGGCACCCGGCCAACAGCTTTTCAAACGGCCACCCGGGCCAACAACTTTTCAAACGGCCACCCGGGCCTAGCTGATCCCATCAGCTGCAGATTTTTTTTCAAACATCGAACCCCTTTTCACAACAGCAATTTCACAAGCAGTAGTCAAACAAAACTACGCTAGGAATCACCTCACATCCGCCCATGACCGTGGGCACGGCTGTTCGAACAGTTTAATGACCTCTGCAGAGGGGGTACACTTTACCCACATGACATTACTAACCCGGGTCACCCAGCCCGTGGGGATCAGCCACGTCGGGAGACCTCCAAGCTTTCATGACAAGGCATTTCAAAAGCCGACACAGGTTTACCATATGCCGACGAGAGGGGTCCCAGACCAACAACAGGTTAGGTCCCAGACCATGCTGTGCCAGGAAGCCCAGGGGTCCTCCCCGACACCACCCCGGCGAATCCACATGTCTCTCGGCATCAAGGCTCCCCTGATAAGCTAGTTACTCAGCCAGGGGTGTCCCATTCCACCCATGTGGTCGTACTTGTCTTATGTTTGGATGAAATTCCAAGGAATCGGTTCTTAAGTGCGAGAGCGGGAAACCGTACACCCGGTACGTTCCCCGGTCCGCGGTTTTGGAAAATCATTTAGTTCACAAGCACCGACCCAGGTGTCGGGTTTTCCAAGTCTTTTGTAAAACTCCAGTTTTACCCAAATTGTTTTTCAGGTTTTAAGTTTGAAGGCGTCCGCCGATACTCGTACAGAGTGCACGAATATCGAGGCGCAACTGGGTGGTTACAAGGGGACATGGTATAGCAATTAACAATGGGAGGATCAAATGCAACAAGTTAGGTAAGTCCGCCAATCTGCCTTGCAGACGGGACAACAGATTAAGTGCGATCCTATCAATGCATAATATTTTGCAAGCAATATACTTAAATTTCAAATATAGGCTCAAGATGTTCGAGGTGGCTTGCCTTGCTCGAGATCTGGAGCTTGATCCTCGAAATCCTCGCGCTGCGGGTCTTCGGGCTCCGAAACTACACGCGAAACGGGACAACTCAACAAACGGCGAAAATAAAGCCCTATTAATGACCTCTAAACGTGCCATTAGATAGATCTCGAGATTTGAGGAATTTTGGAAGTTGAACGGAGTCAAACGGACTTATGGTCGGGAAGATATTGAATTTCTAAGATTATTGAATTTTTTATCTAAAGGAAAAAGGATTTAGTTAAATCCTTTTTGGAAAAAGAAAAAGAAAAGAAGGGAGGGAGGGAACATAGACTTCTCTCGGGCGGCTAGGGCGCGGCCCAATAGATTTGGGGCGGCTCGGCCGAGCTTAACGGGCCGGCCGGCCCAAGACGGCCCAAGCGCGCGCGGGAGGGAGGAGAGAGAGTCCGGTGGACCGGGCTCACCACGCGCGGTCCCGGGTGGGACCCACTTGTCAGCGGCTCGGCTCACCGTGCGGAGGGAGCACGTGGCGCACGCGCGCGGGCGGGGTTGGGACGCGGTGCACGCGCGCGGTTTGCGGAGGAACGGATGCGGCGGGCCCACGCGCAACCTCACGGCTCACCGCGGACCACGCGCACGGGGAAAAACGGAGGGAGCGGCTGGCTGGGTCGGCTGATCCGGTTGCGGCCGAGGTGGCGCCGACGTGGCACCTACGTGGCAGCCACGCGGGCCGGCGGGAGGTAGACGACGACCCGGCCGCGAATGGACGGCGGGCGACAGCGGCGAGCGGCGGAGCGAACCACGGCGATACGGCCAAAAGCGAGCACACCGGGCGGTTGCTCGAGACGAGGGGAGACGAGCCA